GGTTTGTCGCACTAAGACACATGTGAAGTGTCTTTAAAAATACTTTAAAAAAATAACCCCAAATTTTGGCAACTGTAAAATATATCTTTTTTAGATATGGTTATATGACAGAGTGCTAAATCACAGGTTTCTCAACCCTTCAAAAGGATATTGCTTCTGCTGTGATCATCCATGCTGGCAAGATGCAAGATGTATGACTTTTCTGCTTCTGTGCCAGAAAGGGATTTTCATTGATGAGACCAAACATCTGACAAAGAAACTTGTCAGAATCCCTCTCCTACTAGCACCCAGGGAAAGGTGAATCAGATACAGGGCAAGGACCAAACACATGAAAAGAAAAAAAAGAACGTTTTTCACCTAGTCTTATAGAGAGTAAGGCTTTCGTAGCCCTTGTATTGGAAAGATGTGTAATATGGATGCTTGTGTTTCACAGGAGTCCACAGGCACAAAGGTCAGTTTCTCTCCACAAAGACTGTAACCTTCACACAAGCAGACTCTGACCTTCATCCTGGAAACCAGTGTCTCTGGTATCAGTCATTTCAGTAAGCCACTGTGGAAAAAGTTGCAGACAGAGGTGTTCTTCTGCACAGAAGTACAAATCATGAAGCAAATAGCTTTCATAAAGATTACATGTACTCAGGAAAAAAAAATCTACTCCTTGAAACATGGCAATATGAAGCACTTGGCTTTGAAGACGTTTGTTGTAGAAACCCTCTTTTCAAAACTATTACACATTGTTCTACCCCAGCTTTAAAAGGACTGATGCAAGACCTCTGTTTGATTGACGATTTAAGTTCTGCTGTTTGAGACTGAAACTATTTTCCATATCCTTTTGCTGGAACGGACAGACAACATATCTGTAACAAGCTATTTGCTTCATGATTTGTACTTCTGTGCAGAAGAACACCTCTGTCTACAATTGCATGGCTTTGAAAAAAGCCATGCAATTCCTTAAGCACAACATGCTCAGCTTCCCAAAACAATCACAACAAATCTATAGCTGTGGTATAAACTCCAGGAAAGGAGAGGCTTCACCCCACAGAAAGGAAGAGGGCACACTGACTGACACCAGCTGCTTTAGTACTAAGCTGTGCCTATTTCCATGGATGTGATGGCCACGCAATCTCTTCAGCGCAGCTAATGGAAACTTGTAACAGGTACAGAGACAGGAACGCTGACAAGAACAAATGAAATGTGTTTTCTAGACATGAGTCAAGCTTTCAAAATCATTAATGCTTTGTCTAACAGCTGGTTATAGTTTAAAGAGCATTAGAAATACCAAACATAAATCTTAACATAATACCAATAATCGTATAAGTATGTAAATAGAGAAGCCAGAAACCTGCAATGCTCCCACCGTCCTCATCTCAGGGATAATTATCCCACCTGTTACTGGGCACCTATTCATATTTACCACATCATTACTGTGATCATTTCATAAAATGGCCAATGAGTCTGCTGCTTTACCTGCTTTGCTCAAATCAACACATTTAGTCTCCATGTCACAATCTCGTGATTATCCCAGCTGGTCTGTGCTTATGTTCATTCAGTGACACTCAGTCTGCCTTCTTTTGCTTTATGTCACATTGTTTACAGGACTGCAAAAATGCACTGCACATTTTTGCTGACATGCTTAAGATCTGTAACACACCACACCAGGGCCCATTAAAAAACTCGTCATCAGACTATTGGTATGGCTCTGATATTCTGCTAAGAACACATAATTTAATTATTTGCACTGTTCTTCAGCTCATATATACTTTGAGATTCTTATTCCTTGCTAGAAAGTCTTCAGATGCTATCTTGCCTTTCATAAACAACATTACTGTATATTTTTGTCCAATGAACTAATTTTGTACATATTAGATGATTAATAATGTAGGTAGGTTTTCTCAGGAAAATCAACACATGAAAGTGGTGTTAATTTTGAGATAATAGGAGAAAGCAAGTCTTAAGACAGAAAATTAATATAAAAAGCTCAATTTAAAATAAATCTAGATATAATAGATAGCTGTTTATCCCTCAGCAATCCATAATTTTGCTCTGTTAGAGCACTTTATGGGAAAGAAAAAGAATTTAAGAATATTCTGAACAAACTGGATCAGCAAATATTACTGTACATATCCAAAACACCACTATACTACCCATTTAATGTTTGTGAGCTTCCTCAATTTTAGATGTTTCAATTTCTTTTATCTTTAACTCTGAACTTTCTGCTCAGGTACAATAGTAATGCTTATATTTGTAAACTACTCAGTCCTAACTTCAAATCAAATTTGTTTAGCTATAATTTTAAATTAAAAAAAAAAAATATAACAGTCATTAGTACCCTGATACACGAGTTGCTATCATTAGGATCCCATTTTTTATAACTCATACTTTTATCTTCTTGGCTAATTAACCAATTAAATTACTACTCTACCTAAATTCAGAAAGCAGAGGAATAAGAGAAGTTTCCAGCAGAATATATTTTAGAGCAAAAGAGACAAAAATAAACTCGGAACATACCTCATATTCCCTGCCATAATGAGGAACAGATTATAAATGTGAGAAAAAATGAAGAGGAAGAGGATAGTACTGAAGAACATCGTCATCCAAGACCCATGATCCTCTCGAAACATTTTCAGACGGAGCAACTGACCTGTGGTACAAAAATTGTAAGAAAGCATATTTTAATCAGTCAGTAAATATCAAAAACCAAAATAAAATACTAAACTGTATTTCTTCCTATACCAAATTATTCCACTGTATGTGGGGAGGGCAGATTTAGCATCATGCAGTCAAACCACTCTTCTGTAGTTCAGCATGAACAGATATTACTCCTACAAAATTACAAATTACTTGCAGTCCAGAAAAAAAAAAACCTGCAGGCCACTACAATTCATTTCGAATGCGAAAAAAAGGTTACTGATTCATACATAATTTTTCTTTTCATGTCTAAGACAGCTTTTCTTGGGCGAAGTATTTGAAGTAAGTCCACTGACATACATTATTTGCTTCCCTAATTTCATTTGGAAATCAAATTATGAGTCTATGTAGAATCTTGCGTGTTTTTCTTAGAACTTTAATCATATGATGTGCTATACTTTATTCTGCAGAGAATACCTTTGTCAAAGAATAGTGGTGTGTCTTGTTGCTTGAAAAGAAGCTCTGATTATTCTCAGCCTTGGTGATAGGTGAAACTTTTATGATGTTTTTGCCAGGAACACATTTTTCCTAGGCTAGCTTTCCTTCTCTGTCTTCTCTTACCTTTTCCTCTTTGTGCTTCTGCATTATCATAAACTAAGGAGTTTCACATCTCTGTTTCCTGTAGCCCTTTACCCTTTTCACCTGCCCATACAATTTCATTCCATTCAATTTTCACATTTTCTTTATGTCTATTCTCATGCCTCTTTTCCTATTCTGAATCTCTCCATCTTTCTCAGACCTCTCCTTTCCTAAAACAAACATATCTAACGGGGTTTAGCATTGTAATAGCCTCTCTACTAGCTTCTGCAAGAATACCCTATCACCCTTTTGCCTTTCTTCTCTAAACTCTTCAGGTGCACAGTTTATTCACTGTCTGGAGTTTTCTACTTCTGGACCTCTACAAATGTGGTACAGCTCCTTGAGCTGCTCTAACCAGAATTTCTAATGACCACTTTCTTAAAGCCCAGCCATACTAGTTCTTTCTCATCTGGATGAGTGTCATGCATGTCAATCCAGTTGTTTATACTCTTCTTGATCTCTTTTTTTGTTCACAGCTCTGTCCTCTAGCAGCTCTCCTTGTGCCTCTACTGATTTTAGGAGGTAGTTTGTACAGTTCACCATCTCTCATACTTGCATGCTCCTACTGCTAACAGAGTATTGTTGTTTTATCATGGATTACCATGAATGGATTACCCTTTTTCTAGGTGGAATTTTTCTTTTCTAAAGCCAAGTAACATGTTCTTCAATTGTTTAGAGTACTGAAAACCTCACCAGCACAAGAGATGGGAATTTGCTTTTGCAGGGCTGAGAGTGCCACAGCAGAAGCCAAGCGGGGCTAAGGAAGGCAACTGATAATTTAAGCAGTAAGGTGAAGGACAGCATCTGTTGAGGAGATAGTGGAGTCAGGTACTAGAAGATGTCAAAATAGGGAGAACAGGAGGAAGATGAGGAGCTGGTCAGAAAAGCAAGATAGCAGACTGAGATGTGAATGGTTTGGGATGGAGGCAATTTTTGTGAGCTGTTTGCTGAACTGCCAAGTCCAGTTTCAGCATTGATTAGGGCTAGACACACAGGGAAGCTATAAAATGGGAGAAATTAGTCAAAAAACTTGAAGTGTTCATTCAGGCAGTCAGACAGGAAAATCCCAGGACTGTATTTGGTGCTGAAGACTGGAGATGCAGGTCTTGGGCAGGAAGACTGGAGGACCTGGACCAGACATGGGCTATGGGCTGAAGTGGTAGGTAGGATTTGAGCTCTGGAGTAAGCAAAATCTTGAAGGATGGGAGTTCTCTGACAAGGCCGAGATTTGGAATGATATGGGAACTGTGAGGCAGGAAGTGACAGATAGGTACAGGAGGATGAATCAAGCTCTATGACGGAGCAAGAGCAGGTCCACAGACCAGTCTAGTAGTAGGGCAGCAATAACGAGGATTCTGGTAGTGAAGAAAGGGGAAGAAAGGGAAAGTGCAAACACATATATACATACACAGGGGCCTCAAGCCCCTGTACTCTTCTTCTCTTTCACTGCTGGAAAAAATGACAGCCCAGGCCTAGCTAGACTGAGGATGTGTAATAAATCCGTCCTTTCTTAAAAATCAAGCAAAAGCTGCTATGGCAATAGCATATTATCCCGACCTGCATATTATCCTGAGAGGAGGGGCTTAATGACAAAAGATATTTCCCTTGCAATTTGACACCTGCTCTCTGAACAGCTGCCATTGCATATGGAATATTACTGACACCTTGGATTATAAACAGGACTCGCAAAATAGAGTTGTGATTTCAGGAGGTCCAGAGAAATGGAGAGAAAAAGCACAGCCTGGAACCTAGACTTCTGTAAAACAGATAATTCCAACCTTTCTAAAACAGGTAAGAGAAAGATTTAATAAATATCCATTGTACCTGTAATCTCCAAAGCAATAATTTGTTCCCTATTCAGTTATTACGCACTGATTAATATATAAACATATGTATAAATTTTATATTCTTAAAAGAACTTTTTCATAAATACCATCTTCAGCAGGGAAATTCTTACATCTTAACTTTCCTTCTACTGTAGCTTATATTTGTCATATAGGACTCCACTAACTCTCAAGTAAGTTGAACATGAACAGAATTTTTTAATGAAAGAAATACTACCTTAATCATAAGACCAACCAACTCATTAAGAAGAAAGCAACTGGATATTAGCACAATCTTCTTACCTAACTGCATACAAATACTACTGATATTACTTATTGTTCCCACCATACCGGTATGTATAACATGCTAAATGCAGTTGAACTAGAATACGTTAAATGCTCCACTTAATACTTGTATTGCATTATATATCCTTTCATATCAATTCAGTTGAAATTAAAACGGAATGCATCAGATGATTACCTGACAGGTAAGTTGTTAAAGTAATAATTGCCAATAATGCTTGTTATTTTTACAACAAAATCTAGGACTCTCTGTATAACGCTTTATTAATTTGATAAAATAAGCTAAAAGGTTACACTTTGAAAGCACACGTAAGAGAAATATTTTTGTGTGTGAATGGTCAGAAATTTGGAAAACCTGTCTAGTAACTAGAATAGATTTGTACTAGATTAAAATACAAATTTGGCTGTTGCAAACAGCCATACAAAATAGAGAAATTCCAACAAAACAGTTCATGTGAACCTACAGCTTTTACTATAAAGAATAGCAAGCAAAAAGTAGCAAAGAACAAAGAGAGTAGATAAGGAATAATATTACACAAAATAAGGTGTTGACTCATTTTAATATTTTCTTTTATTACTTCAGAACAAATTAATTGGTTTTTATGACCTTATTAAAAATACCCCAACAGGTACGACAGAGAAGAACATAGTTCCTAGGCTGTATTTACACATACTAAATTATATACTTAAAAATAACCAAATAAATGTGCTAAGCCTAATGGAACTTTTCAAACACAAGTTAAATGCCAGATTAATGCCCACCAATGATAAAACTTTGAACTATAATTAGTTATATACAAAAATCAAGATTCCTTTCAGTGACAAAATGTTGCTTCAAAGAAGTTTCCTCAAAACATAATTTTTTACTGAAAACAGGTTTTCTATCTGTTCCAAGGCTTTGGAGATCACATCACAGGTACAAGGGGAACACAGGGTAGTAGAGACTTCAGGATTTGGGGTCCAGCAACAAACCAGGCAGTAAATCAGCTCATCAGCTGAAACCTGCTTGACTTTCTCTAACAGCATATAAATGCTGCCAGGGATGATGAGAGAGAGCTTGTAGATATTGTCAGAGAGTCACAGATCTAAGTTTCTTTTAAGTCCAGGAGAAGAAACAACTCAATAGGCAGATACAAAATACTGAATCTAATAGGACACTTTTTTAAAAACTAAAGCTTTTCTAGCATTTTTAGATCCACAGCCCATAGGATGGTTGGATTTATTAGACTGTAGAAGCAGAAACAAGAGAAACATTAAATTCTTACTCACAAATTTAGCATGCTTTCTTGTCTTAATTAGGAGTGATAGAAACCACAAACTCCAACCCTTTCCTGGGCACATGCGTAATATTCTAATACCAAGCTCTTCATCAAAGCAGATGTATTCCTTTAATTTTGGATGCCTGATCATGTGATTGCTCTTTCTGTCCTTTTAATGTTCATGGTCATCAATGGCTGAAACTGTTCAGCTGAAAAATTAATCTCAATAAATGGGAAGTATTTTTTAACCTTGAAAACCAATCCAACTTTCATCAAAGTTTGGCAAGTCTGCTCTTAGTCAGCACTAACAACATAAGCATAATATAATGTCATTTTGCTCTTGCTCATTCTGCCACTCTATGTGTATGCATGTGGCTGACTTTGTTTAAGAATACATGAACCTAGCAGTGAGCACTGTAATGTTCAGAAAAAAAAAGCTTTCCTAAACTACAGATGCAAAATTTTGGATTCGAACTGTGACAACAATCTAGTCACATCCTGTAGCTCAAGTTATTCCGTTGGTGCTAAGACAGTAGACAGAAAACTTGCTATTTTCTGATATTAAAAAAAAGTCACTTCTGAAAATTATTACAGCACATATGCAGATCTACTGGACATCGGGGTAGCTCCAATGGCCTCAGGATAGAACAGGACATGCCGACTGTCTTCCCACATGCAGTCAAACTGTGTCCTTGATTGTATAAGGCTTTAAATTTTTCTGACAGAAAACCAGATCTTGTTATAGCAGCAAGCTGGGAGTCAAATCCCCTGTGTTCTTCTCTTGCTTATTATGTTATCCCAGGAAAGATTCTTTTTATCTCTGCAGCTGTTTCCCTGTGTCCACCCTGTAAGTCACTCCCTGATCAATTAAAAAGCACACTGTTTGAAGTCTTGTTTATGGTCTTTAAGCTCTACCATAATACAAAGAATTAATAGGAGACAGTAGAAGTATTTTAGAAAATTCAAATATATATACCACCATAGATGCTCGGGAAACACCTACACAAACACGGACACACTCTCTAATGACTCTTTGAGCTCCAAATGCACCTTACACAGCTGGGCAGCTCCACCCTCTCAAACTACATAACTTACTTCATATAGCTCAACGCTGAGTGCAGCCCAGTAAACTGCAGGTGATGAAGGGGATAGGAGATTTATTAGCTCAGTTCTGTAACTGCCCTAACATAGTCATAAGGCTACACACCCAGACTTTATCCAGCCAACCTACAGCAAAGCAGAGCAGGTGGAACAGCTGTTTGCCTCCCTCCATTTAGATCTACCTATAGTCTTTGTCCAGGAGCTTGATAAGCTCAGGAACCTGGCATTACAATTCCCTCATGCAGCTACGGCCGTGCTGTTTGTAGCCAGTTTAGGACTTATTTATACAGCCAACACAACTTGGAATCAAGTGTTCAGTGTCTTCATTCTTAAGTATTGAAAACTAAGGCAGAGAGGTAGGAAATACCATTTGATTCAAAGAACACATGACCTATAGCCAAGGGGATTTTAGGAAAATATAACTTTTCTATACATATTCAAACCCCTTTTAATTTATCACATCATAAGAAAATGTTACTTAATTGTGTTTCACCTATTAGGATGGCTATTTTAAAGAATTTACAGGGATATCTTACAAAATTCAGCTGAAGAAAAAAAGTTACACAGTTTATGTAATTTTTACGTTCACAAAGGCTATGGAGAAGGGAAAGTATAGCTACCCTAGGTTAAAGTCCAGTACTTCAATACTGAAGAAAATACATTTAAAGAGCAAACACTTCCCACACTGTGAGTAGAACAGATGGCTTTCTATCCATATTCATTACCTGGAAAGTCATTTGACTGCCTTTGTTGCTGAGCTTCTAGAGAAGTTAACTTTCCTTCCTAACTTCGTTGAGTACAATTTGAACCACCTTTTTGTCAGATTACTGAGTCGACTATAGATTTCCAAAGCACAATAACACAGCATTTATTTAGCAGGTGCTCACTGCAGCTCATGGTTGCTATATTTTGACCCATGTCTGTGAACATACCTTTGGAAAAGACTTACTGTACTAAGGTTGACATGAAAGCAAAACACTACATTAGAAAAAAACACTATTTCCAACTTAATGCTTGAAGATGTTTTGAAATTTTCAAGGAGTCAATAACATTCTGAAAAAGTCCTGTCTTCCATTCAAAGTGTGATCTGTACTGAGGAAAATTTTATCCTGTCGTCCTGTAAAGTTGTACAGTTATTTGGATGACCCTCATACAAAGCTTCTACTTGGACAGACCTTACAGTTTGGCACCTGCTGCATCATCTGCAGAAAGTTTATAGAAACATAACGAAGGGCAATGGATGACAGCTCATTCTGAGAGAATATTCCAGCCTTTATTTTGCTTTTATTAGAAGTAATCAATGAAATTAAGCATAAGACATTATAAGCTTAAAAAACTCGCTTTGAAAAATACACTACAGATCTATATTCCACACATTCCATAACATGAATTGACACAAAATGGGCCATAAAGAGTTAGACAAAATTCATTCTCTAACCCCACCAAAAGCACAATGTTTTCAGCACAGGAAAATTATTTAAAGAAGAAAATCAGAGAAAAAGGAAAAAAAGCAAAGGCACTTTGTCTGGTGCTTTAGACAGCAAGGTTGCTGTGGCCTTTACCACAAGCAGAATTTCCTCCTGATTTGTTTTGATGCTGTTTTCTTGACCTCAGTCACAGCCCACTGCACAGCTGCCCACATTAAACATGCCTCTAGGCCCAGTATGGATACTCAAGGCAATCAAAGCAATGACGGAATGAGCGTGGGCAATTACTGTCCTTCTGTCATCTCCTCTGCTTTTTTCAAAGATACTTACAGATATATTGGAGACCAGCTAAATGGTCGGCCTTACTTGAGAGCAAGGCTGCTGTTACTTGAGAATGAATACTTCTTTTCTCTCATCCATTGTACACAATGTTAAATAGTGGAGACGAGAGTATATAAAGCCTTGCATAAAAGTTTATGAAGATCTGCTTGTGTGGGTGTTGTAGAGTAAGCTTTAAGTATATTTGGAGTTTATATTTTTTTCAGATAGAGGAGAGGTTGTACATCATACTATGTTCTGAATTCTTTTGCCAGTTCAAATATACTGAATTTAAAATTTTTGAATTTTAAATTTAATACATCCAACTCAATTTTTATTTTAAAGGCTGTTGGTCTCTCTTTTCCCTTCAGGCATACTCCATGGACAGATGATGAATGGTACATGCACTATTTTAATTTGCAACAGAAATCCTAAGCTGGAGTGGTACTGTTATTTGCTGGTTCTGGTTTGCCTTTTCTCTTTATTAACAGGATTTCTAGGTAATATACTTGCACTACGACATTATGTTTACTGCATGAAGACATGGACTACCAATACCATATTCCTCTTTAATTTGGCACTTTGTGACTTTACTTGGACTCTCATGGCACCTTTTTCAGTATATTATAATATCCAGAAGTTAGCTGTATATTTCAATCAAGCATTTTATCAGATCATAAGACTATTTTTTAGTATTAATGTCTATGGAAGCGTCTATTTCCTGGCACTCATCAGTTTTGACAGATACATAGGTGCTGTCCATCCTATCACTTCATTAACATGGTGGGACAAAGGAAAGGCTGTGTTTTGCACTATTGGGGTATGGATCTTCATAGTGATTGCATCGATGCCTGACATCTACTACACAGTTGCAGCTAGAATACAGCCTGACATCATAAATGACCTGGATGCCACTGAAGGACCTTTACAATTTCTAGTGCCATTCCTGATCTCCAAGATTTTATTGAGATTCCTAATTCCAGCCACAATCATCTTTACATGCTATGTGTTGACTCTCAAAGCACTACTACAACTCAGTAAACGTCAGCAAAGAAGGAACAGACTTGTTAGGCCTCTGTTGCTGATTTCAGCTGCTATGATTGTATTTGCTGTTTCTTTCATACCTTACCATGTTATGATGACGGTGATACTAATTTACAGAATTAATTGTAAACCACTCTGTGGGAACACAAGCACATTAAATGCCATTTACAAAGTCACAGAGATCATCTGCAGCTTCAACAGCTGTCTTGATCCAATCATTTTTACGGTAGCAAATAAGACATTCTATCAAAGAACTAAAAGTATAAAATGTCATCTCGAATGCCAGTGCTGCAGTTGTCTGACAAGAAGAGTAAGGGACATCACTCTGGCCCCGAGAACAATGACGTAAACACTAGTCTACAAAGATTCACATCTCCAACTGCTTTGTGTCATCAGATCCATTTAAAATTTCTTCTATATTGTACAGCTATCTCTTGAATAAGCAATAATACACAAAAATGCAGAGTAAAACTTAACATGAAAAGAAACAGTAGCAACTCCTACCTTTACAGACATGGCATTTTAAATATTCATGTTATAAATATACCGTACACGCAGCATGTAATGAAAAACTACCAAAAGTTCTAAGTAGCTCCTTTAATTCTTGGACAGAAAAATACAGCAAGATTAAGTGCAGATAGTGATGAGGAGCCTCCTTATAGTTTCTGTTAATTATTTTTTCATCAGTTTGTAAGGGCTGCTGTGATTGGATTGTGCAATCAATAACTATCATGATGCTTACAGCTGGACTCCTCGAACATTTTCAGAGAGGTTTTCTACAAGTACTTCATTTTAATGCTGCTTGCACTAGAGTTCCACTGCCAGTGGAACCTCATTAACCCAGTAAAGTGCAGTAGATTTCCAAAAACAAACAAACAAAAACCAAATAGTAAGATAAAGTCCCTGCGGATAGTCAGAGACACAGTAATTCTGTTCACAAAGTAAATAGGCATGGATTAAAGAGCTTTGCTGAGCCTTTCCCAAGGCAGCAAGGCTTCCCAACCGATAGGGGTGTCCCCCAAATCCTAGGCAACTACAGCTGTTTGTCATTAGTGTTCTGCTTCAGGGGAGCATGTGTTCTGCCATGAACCCTGATTTCCCCAACAGTGAAAATTGTGCACTGTTAAAGTGTTCTGAAATACAAAAGTGGCTGAGCCACAAGAAGGGTAAGACATGCTGCTATACAGCAGTGCTTCTTCTGTTCCTTTAGTGTCTTAGCATCACAGTTTCAGGACAGTCTAAGGTAATTAGACTATGATGCACTTTAATCATTAAACCAGCACAACAGATAGTCATCACAACATCCACCTTCAAGAGTCATTATATAAGTGTTCTTTCATCATATTGTATGGGCAAAATAATCATGTTCCAATGATCAGCCACCTGCTGACTTGTCTTCTAGCCAAGTGCCACATATTACTCTGTTAATTATAAAAGCCCATGTATCAGTGAGCACATTACCTTTACTTTCAGAAGGTACTGGTGACAAAGTACATTTTAATATACTTTGTACAGTGTCTTAATTCTTTAATTATTTAGTTTTAATACAATTTTGTCTTCACATGTCTCTATTTGAAAATATTTCTGTTTTACATGGGTACTGAATCTCTCTTGTTGTATGTTTCAATTGTATTGACTAAATATATATGTATGTATAAAATCTAGAAAAACTTTTCTTTTTAATTTTCTTTAACTGTGACATGAAACGAAGAACCTGGTCCTGATAATCTGAAACACTTTACAAGTATTTGGATGTACTAGCACACTCACAACATCCCACAGAATAATTGCACGCCTATATTCTAAGTGCTGCTTTTTTCCTTTGATAATTTCTTAATCTTTCAATTTCTCTTATTTTAAAAATATTAACTTTTTTTAAAACACATGAATTGGAAACATGAGAAGGTTATTAACATTGCATTGGCTTCCATAAGAAACAGAGGTTTTTAACTCATGAATGGGCATCCATGGGTAATTACCTATATACACTTACATCTCAGACTGATAAACAATGGCAGTGTCATTTAGTGACAAAGGTGTTCCCAGCAGGAAAAAGATAGAACAGCAGAGATAAGTATGAAGTTCTGGACTCAATGAGTTTATTGCTCCCACCAGATTGCACCCAAACTTGTAAACTGTAAGCTATTTCCAAAATCGAACACTTGACACTTTCATGTTTTAATTTATCTTTAAAGGCACAAATACACTGTTTCGTTTTCCTTTCTCCACCTCAGTATTGCTTCAGCAATTTAGTGCCTGTGTTTTGGCTGAGTAAAATTCAACATGGGATCAAAATATGCTTTTCTATACACAAAACTAAACATGAAAACTCAGTGCACAACTGGCTACAAAAGATAACTTCGCACCTCTGGGACTCAGGGATTTTCAGCTTTTACTTGCCAGGACTTCTAATATGTGAGCTTTTTCAGGAGAGACAACACTGGCTTATACCAAAAACTTGTCAACATTTTCTTGAGATTTTTAATAGAATAACAGTTGTTTCTCTGTTCAGACAGATAATTTTACTCTTACTGGGTAATATCTACTATATAGAAGTTAATGTTACTATTACATATTAAGCAAGTGTCATTAGAAAGATTTGTTGTTAAAGAGGAAAGAAACATTCAACTCAGAAGAATTGTGAAAAATATTATCAAACTCACTTCCTGATTTTGGAAAATAATTAGATTTGTTTCCTCTTGAAGTGCTGCCTTTACAACACATATGAATGCAGACTGTGCTCAAAAATACTCAAAGATGGAAAGAAAAAAACTAAAAATTTTAATTAAATATTGGATTGAAAGCCTCCAGTGAGTTCAAGACAAATACAATAATCAAAGAGCTTCACAGAAAACCCTTCCACAATTCCTATGCAGTGTCTTTTGCAAGCAGCATAAATGCAGATTGCAGAGATTGTCAAGCGAAGTCTAGTGATGTAAAAAGAAAAACTAAGGTAACAATAAGAAAATGCTTTAAAGTCAGTGTGAGTCTGACTCAAAAGAAAAACAAAACTAGGGAGAAATTTCAATCTGGTCAGGCAATCAGAACATAAAATGCATTTAATTAAACAAGGATGACCTTTATATTTTCAGTGGGGCTGAACTGGCTGCTCATGGCTTGGATTGGTGAGTAAAAAAACCAGCTGGCTGGCCAGGCCCAGAGGGTGGTGGTGAATGGTGTGACATCTAGTTGGCAGCCAGTCACCAGTGGTGTTCATCACGGTTCAGTACTGGGGCCAGTCCTGTTTACTGTCTTTATCAATGACGTGAATGAGGGGATCGAGTGTAGTCTCAGTCATTTAGCAGACAACACCAGGCTGGTTGGGAGTCTTGAGCTGCTGGAGGGTATGATCTGCTAGGATCTGCTGCAGGCTCTGCAGAGGGATCTGGACAGGCTGGATTGATAGGCCAAGGCCAATTGCATGAAGTTCAACAAAGCCAAGTGTCAAGTACTGCACTTGTGTCACAACAAACCCATGCAATGCTACAGGCATGGGGCAGAACGGCTGGAAAGCTGACAAGCAAAAAGGATCTGGGGGTTTTGGTTGGCAGTTGTCTGAACATGAGCCAGCAGTGTGTTCAGACAGCCAAGAAGGCCAATGGTATCCTGACCTGTATCAGAAATAGTGTCACCAGCTGGACCACGGAAGTGATTGTTCGGCCGCACCTTAAATTTTGTGTTCAGTTTTGGGCCCCTCACTTCAAGAAAGACCTTGAGGTGCTGGAGTGTTTTCAGAGAAGGGCAACAAAGCTGGTGAAGAGTCTGGAACACACGTCTTAGGAGGAGCAGCTGACGGAGCTGGGGGTGTTTATCCTGGAGGAGGCTCAGGGGTGACCTATTGCTCTCTACAACTACCTGACAGAAGGTTGTGCAGTGAGGTCCAGTCAGTCTCTTCTCCTATGTAACAAGTGACAGGACAAGTGGAAATAGCCCCAAGTTGCATCAGGGGAGGTTTAGATTGGATATTGGGAAAAATTTCTTCACCAAAAGGTTGTCAAGCACTGGAACAGACTGCAAAGAAAAGTGGTTGAGTAACCATCCCTGGAGGTATTGAAAAGACATGTAGATGTGGAACTCAGGGACATGGTTTTATGGTGGACTTGGTAGTGCTGGGTTAATGGTTGAACTTGATGATCTTAAAAGTCTTTTCCAAACCAAATGATTCTATGATTTTATCCAGGCAGTACTGATTTCTGTTGTGTATCCCTTTGATCCTTCCTGCCCCCAAGAACATGAACAAGAGATACAGCCAGCATGTCCCCAGCAACCTCTTCGCTGGGAACAAGCAGGAGCACGCTGGAGACTCCTCCAGTTCACTTATGCAGGACTGAGTAAGGTGGGCATCCTAGCTCCTCAGTTCACTGTTCTGGGCTCAGCTGGCAGGACAAGGGACAAACTTTGGACTCTCAGATTCTAATACGATCCGTTTTTCTGCATTGCTCCTTCTTGTGTCCCACTGAAAGAAAAATATGGAATAAACTGTGCTACACAAGTAAATCCTTACCTCCACGTCTGTTTCCTACATGGCCTATAAAGCTGAATAATTATCTGTCAATAAAGCCATTTATAACAGAGGTCCCAAAGTACTCACACACATAAGAGAAAAAGGGGAAGGAAAAGTGAAGAAACCACCTAACGCTTCTGAAAAGATTAGTTCCAACCAACACTGAATAATGAAGAACAGCAGGGAAAAAAGTAGATGGGGGCATTGCTATAAAATTCATCTGTGTCACAGTGCCTCTGTCATCTGTTCTGCCAGCCTGGACACAACATGCCTTGTCCTGGGCTGAGTCTAAAGACACCACATAATCTTTTAAAAAACATCTTCAGGACACAAATCTCTTGAAAAATCTTTCCCTCTCTTACCCTAAGCTAGTCCCTTTCCCATGATACTCACCTGTGAATACACCCTAAGTTGACAAGGGTTCTAGACATTTGTTTTTATGTTTATAAATGATTATTAGTCAATTAAAGACACTTTTTTAAAGCATTTTTGTTCACCTAGGCTGAACTAACGCTAATGGTCTGACTGATATCAAAAGTGTTCTACTAAATAAGAGTTAAAAGGCACAAGACATCTGTTCATATTTACTTGGTCATACTTTTACTTTGAAATACATGCTCCTAAAATATTTTATTATAATATTACCCAGATAAAATGACATAAACAAATAAAAATTAGAGAATTTTATTCCATTTTGCTACAATAAGCAAGCAATAAACTAAATAGCTAAGAGCCAAAGTCAACATCATCTACTATGACAAGTATGTTGCAATACTAGTTTCATACAGATCTTTGTTTGGATTAAATCTGAGAACACGGTATCCAGTTAAACGCCTTACTATTACAAGTTTGAACATGTTATTGAATGTTGTAATAATAATATTAGCCTACAAAACTGATTACAAGGTCTAGGTAGCTTTCATGTACCTTATCTACATATTCTAAAATCTTCATAATATGTACCAGAGGAACACAAGACAGACCATGGCCTGAAAGATTTGACCCTTTATGTACATGCTCAGTGGTTGTCAGAGGAACAACTTTCTCATTTACTACTGCAAATTCAGCAGTTTTGTAAGCAAAACTTGTTAAAACAAAAATCTCTGAGTGGAAGAGAGAAATTTTGCTACAAATGTCCCAAAGCTGCCAAGGAAAGCAGTATTTATGTTCTCTATTTGTCCTTATAGTATTTTCATCTCACAGAGAAACTACCTGAAATGTTCACTTACTAAGATGGGAGTCTACCTTTTTTAAATGAAAATGTTCAAATGTTCCTGCAAGTTTGGTTTTCTCTTCAATATACATAAGTGAATGTATTCTGATAGCAAAGTTTTTCTTTTCCATGCCTCAGAAATATCTCAATTGTCAAAAAGATATAACAAACAATACCACAACACTATTAAAATACTTCCCCTTTGCACACTGCTTTCATCTGTGGAAGCCAAAACTCC